TTTCATTTTCTTTCAAATAAAATTTTTATCGTGTTCAAATAATTCGTTTCAAAAAGGGATATATTATAACTGATATTCTTAGCGGAACTCTTAGATGATTAAAAAAAGTCCTGGCCAGAGCAAATGAATGAGGTCGGAAAGACGTTTTTCCTGCTCTTCTCCAACGTATCCATTTGATTTTCATCTATTAGTATATTGCACTTGTATTTGTAATGTATGAATGTGTAGGACAAAAATTTGAATCCATTTGCTACCTTCTCTGAAATATAAACAGAGAATGCAACGCACTACTTAAATTATGATGAAATCGCAATTCCAACATAGTTTAATCATCAACGCCTATTTCTGCTGATAGGTATCTAAACTCATTGTCAAAATGTATCAGAGTATCTCCAAGTTTCGATCGAAAGGAACCGTTCACGGTAGCTCAGTCGGTAGAGCGCTCGCTTCGTGATCGGGAGGTCGTGAGTTCGAATCTCGGCCGCGACTGACCTAAGACGATACAAAATGGGTAGCAACTGTTCCTTCGCCATGCGCTCGGCACTTTGAAGTGAAAGTTGCGGGTCCTTCGGATGAGACCTTAAAAACCGAGGCCCCGTGACACGGCAGGCGTTGGCACGATAAAGATCCCTCAATGCTCAATGGACCTGAGCGCCGAGTAAAGGTCAAAATTTGAAGCCCTTCACGGTATATGGTGACGTCTCTATATGAGTGAAAAATTCTCGAATGGGACGTAAAACAAAATACAATTATTCAATCAATCGAAAGGCTGTTACTTCATTTTTATCTCCATCTTCTGGAAATTCTATATACGATTTTGACTCTATTAGATCCAAAAATGAGAATGGTAATTGTTTTAATGGGGTCTTTCTCTAATGCCTCCAAAAGCAAAATATTCTCACCATTTCTTGAATAAATGACTTCCATACTTGCCATATTGAGCTCAAACATGCATCAATATGACTGTAAAAACTAAAAACTTATGACACAGACGGTTTTTCTGCTATTATGAATGGCGTACGTGATATTATCTGCTATCCCTGTCCCTGGAATAAAATCACGATGATGTATACACAGCCTTAGATTGAATTCCTCTTCCAAACGCGTAACCAGATTGATGACGAATATTCTGTCTTTCTCGGCACAGGCACTTGGGGTATAGAACCCCCCCCCCCCCCCCCCGCTTTTCCATTTTTTTTTCCATTTTTTTTTCTTTTCAAATCTGGGGTCCAGTCACCTTTTTCCTATTTTTATATTTTAATATGCACTATATATTATCAATAATGTAACTCTTTTGTCTCTATATGTTGTTTTAAATATACCGTTTTCGACTGATACATAAAAAGAGAGAAGACTTGCAACTCTTTTCTCGTCGTTTGCCTCACCTCGCTTAAACTTCGCCTGATTATTTATCTAAAGCATAAGACCACATGGGATATGCATACATCAATAAATTTGTTACACATTCCTCTTCCTTTTCATATTTCCATTTAATTTTTTATGTGCCCTCGATTTGTAAATATTTCGATTAAATCAACCGCATCTAGGGAAAATTTTGTTGATGTGCACTAGCTGGGTCTGGCTTTCTTTTCACTATTTTTTTTGTTATTTTTCCCTCGAAACGTAATACATATATCTCAATTTCCACCTATATCTATAAAGAATACGACTGGCGGTGATTGTTATGATAACCAAAGTTAATGCCGTCTTAATGACAATGATAAGACTATATGAGGAACACTGCTTTTACAAAAGTTGGAATAATCTGATATCTGAGAATCGGATCTTTGTGGAATTCGATAAAGTACATATATAATCATTAAAATGAAGAAAAACAATGTTCTTTAAATGGAGAACCCATTTCACAAATTCCAAGTTTCCACAATCGCATTTCAATTTGTTGCCCTTTAAATGCAAATAGACAATCTTCTCTTGTGATTCTGCGTCTAACATATTTCTAGTTTCCTTATTCATTTTCGATAACTGGTTATCGGAGAGGTCTATATAAGACAGACGAACCATATGGCTTATGGGGACTAAACTTACCCAAAGAATTATAACTGAGGTTAAGATTTTCAAGTTGGATGAGATTTTGAAATATTTTTGCCGGAAGTTGAAGGATCCTGTTTCGAGTTAGATTCAAAGAGGTTAGCTTACGTAGATTTTGAAATATTTTTCCCTCGAAGTCATTTTCCAGATTCACACCAAGTGCATTATAGGAGAGATCAAGATGGGACAAGCTGTGAAATCTTCAAAAAATCTTGGTGAGATATAGTTGCAAAAATTATTAGAGAAGTCCGTATGAATTACAATTTCCATGCCAGAAATGGGCCCATTTAGTTCGTAAATAATATTGTTTTGCAAATGAAGCTTTGACAACACAGGTTTACTAATAAATTTGAATGAAAAGTCTTGAAGTGTAATTTTATATTATCGTGAAAATGCACAGAATGTAGTGTAGATGGCAGGAAAATTGTAATATTTTTTGGTCTCAGTAAAAGTCTAGGCCATCTATTGTTCCTTTTCAGACCCCTATGCTGGTTTTCTGAGAAATTCGCACGAACTGGTCGAGTATCATTGTAGCTCATGGCAATGTCTCCTTTAAGATGATGAAAAGAGGACTGGAAACTTGCATTGATGGTCACTATTTTGGACAAAGCACCGAATTCTACTAAATATATTCCAAAACTGAGTTTGTTATTGATCAGATTTAGATGATTTAGCGACTTACACCCGATTCAACGCTGTTGATTCGATTGGACGCCAAGTTTAGTTCATCCAAAACTGTATTCTTAAGGCCAATGAGATGATATGTTTTAACGATGAAACTTACTCCGTCATTTTCTTCACCAGTTGATCGGTCCCGGTCAAGATCCTATCAGATGGAAGACTTTTCGTTGCTCGATCACGTCTAATTATTGTTACTGAGTATCATTATTTATTTATTTTTTTTTTTTTTACCAATTTTCTGCAGTAGATTTCTCGAAAATGCCTTGATGGGTTTCTATGAAACTTTCAGGAATAATAGTAAATTAATTATCCTTGAATTTTTTTTTTTTTTTTTTTTTTATGAATTTGCCAACTTCTCTTCCGGTCGAGAGTTACGGAAGATTTCCTATTTTTAGCTGACCCTTTGAACAGGCGTTTTCTCAAAAAAATGGTCAGAAATATAATCATGAAACTTTCAGGGATGATAGATTTTGACCTGAAAATGTGATGTATAGGGGTATCATATATATATATATATATATATATATATATATATATATATATATATATATATATATATATATATATATATATATTTGTTTTGATGACGTCACTTTTGGTACCGAACTTTACGTAACATAGTGATTTTCTGAGGGTCACTTTGTCCAGTAGTTTGAAAATCCAAAACCTTCTTTGTGCTGCACTCTCATCTCATCGTTTAAAATCAAAACACGGTAAACTTACGCTTAGCATTTAAATTGTGTATTTAACTAAGAAAACAAAAGTCTCATATACATGATTTAAATAATGAAGGCTAAGTTGCAATCACAAACGTTACAAAATTCACCAATGATACAATTATGCAGTAGTAGATTATTTTTAATGCATTTCTGATATATCCACATAATTTTTATTATCGGTTGATAACTGTGTGTTTATAGGCAATATGTTTAATTATAAACTGATTTGCATCGCCATCTGTAAATGATATCATTAGTATCATACATGAAGTTTAAAGCATTATCTGTAGCACTGTTTTTTGAATAATGATACAAATATTCCATTAATGGACACAAACTCATCCACACATTCTAAATTATGCCATTGGTGGATATTATTTCATAAGTCACAACCGCAAATGTCTCCTTTACTTTTTCTCTCCATTACGAGAATCAAATACAAGTCCTTATATCAGTTTAATATGAATCACCTGTTTATGAAATATCCTTGAAGGCACTAGATCAATTCAGCCTGTTGCACTTCGTCTGGACTCTGCCCTGTTTCTGACCTTGCTAAAGGCTACATTACTGTTTTTATACTGAGTATACTTATACATGTTTTCATTAATGTATTTAATGATATTGACATTTAATGTATTTAATGATATTGACAATTGACATTACTAAAAACATCACTTTTGACCGAGTCGAAACACATTTTATTATTTTCAATTGTAAAACAAAATTATTTTATATTTAATTCATAACTTTACTATCTCTTAAGGCGTTTCATAAACTTGGAATGCATTTCATTTTTTGTCAAGAGATTTGTCTTTTCTCACATTGTATCATTTGAGTGTTTGATGCTTTGCATCTGTCAAAATATCAATATAGTTTCGACACACTACTGTTTATGTGGGAGAAAACATGCAATGTAACCCATGGTGTAACACAGAATATCACTGCCTATGTTTCAACAACTGCCTTATTCATACATGTACAATACTTTGAGGTATTGAATTTACTCAGCATGTCATTTTAAAAACTTTAAAAAATCAAAAGTGCATTTTCTTAATATCAGCAAAATCCGAAACAGAGAAAATGAAAAATTAAGAAGATGTAGTTATTCAGAACGACACAAAAGTGTCATCAATATGTGCTTGATTAGCAGAGAAGGCAATTGACCATTCCATTTTCTCCATACATCTTGCCATATAGACTGTACCTTTCGGTTGTTCATATACCACAACCTACTAATCTTGCAGCATCTAGGGTATCATAAGGAACATAAGAAGACAAAAGAATGAAAATATCAACCAAAAATGATAAGACTTTAATATACAAAAGTCATTTTGGCAGATCTAGATGCATGTAAGTGTGTTCTACATTATAAAAAAGAATACTCCGAGAATGACGCAAATTTCTTTCGTAGATATACTTAAAAATAAGACGTACATATACATTTCAAAATTAGATCTGTAAACATTTAATTTTTTTTTTTCAAAAACCACATATTTAATTAAAATGTTTTGTTAATTGCTGAAACTGTTTATTTCCATTACATAAGAGTGACAAGGCAGAAGAGTTTTTTTTTTTTTTTTTTTTAATTTTAGAATTGGCATATTACAAATTTCAAATTTATTTTCTCCTGTGAGTTGATTAGAGTTTGTTATTACACTGATCCGTGATATGTTTTCCGTCATTTATCCAAATGGCACAGCTCTGTCAACAAAAAACATCATATTGTAAATTATATGCATGTAGTAGATAATCAAACAGCAGAGATTTGTAAAATTTAATCTCCCTTTAGAGAGGTAAATAAAAAATTATTCCCCTTATTTATAGGTATTAGCAAAATACATTTGTAAATATTATGGATCATAAGTGTATTAAATACCCTAAAAGTGATCAGTAATGTAACACTAGTTGTTAGCCATGAATAATCTGTTTTGTTTTGCTTCTGTTTTATTGTTTTCATATTCATTTGTTTTTTATTTGTTGTTTTTTTTTATCATCAGCCATTTCGCTGTCTTGTATACCATGAAATCGATACAATGTTGAATGTAAAAAAATATCTTCTTTTAATTTTAACAGAATATGCTATTAAATAATGAAATTTTAAGTTTATATTGACAAAGAATTTATGCATAGGAAACGAAATGATTATATTATTTTGTTTTGCTATATTCTTTCTATTAACCTATTCGAAAGTATGTATGCAGATCTCTGTGTCGACATTTTTTTGAGAATCCGACATGTTGGAATACCACGTGCAAGTTGTAAAGCGGGAAGGTCTTGGTCATAAAGCAAGATGTAAGCCCGGAAGTGTTTGGTCCAATATGTTCTCGAAAGACATATTTGATCAATAGCGCCCTGCGTTAAATTTCAGATGATGTGTTAAGCAAATATAACGTATTTTAGTGGACGACTTAAATGTACATCAACTTCAATGATAGCACAGGTATGATAAGGTAGCACCCAGATCATTATTCGGCAAATTTACACTTTTTGGTAAAATTTAACATTGATAATTAAATCAGAAAGCCACGGATAAAACATGTACTCTTATTATTCATTGTATAGGCGTCAATAAGAAATTCTCCATTACAACGTCATCATGTGACATATATAAATAGAAAATATGCCGTAATGAAAATTGAAAAGTTTAACACAACCCCAGGAATAATTCAATTCTGTTTGTAGAAATATTTATGTAAAAGCATCCTTTGACCAGGAAAAATACTGCTAGAATCATCTTCTCCAATCACAGAGATTATTCCACATTTTCGCATGAAACATTATCATTTTTTTTTACATTCATTAAGATCGAAGAAATTTCATCAATTCATGTTAACCACACGATTCCAGAAGCACCTTATAGAACAAATAGAACACAAACTCCAGATATCGACAAAAACTACGTTTCAAAGTTTGCGACATAGTGTTGAACTTTTGCTTCTTTGTTTTCAAGAACGAAAGGGAAAAGGCTGATCGGATTATAAGACACTGCCTGTCTTCATTACAAGATACAAAATGATGAAAATAAATCTGCAATCCTGATTCTTAAACTCTAATTCCTTATGAAACAAACGTGATATTTTAATCTATATGCTTTGAACTCCCATTTTATATTTTATATTATATTACATGTATTCTCGTTCCGTCTCATTTTCACTAGGCGATTATTTGTTCAACAGCTATGACGTCATGACTTACGTATTTATCCCCAGTGACAAATACCATTCAAAAATAACAAAATTTTGTTTATATTTTATTTTGCATGTCTTCATTGATTTCGAGGACTTAAAATGAATCTTTAAATGTAAACAATAAGAAATAGTTATTAAGGGGAAAGGTTGGACAAGTTTGGATAGTACAAGCTCTAATAAGGCACTCATTTTTGATCTGACTAAATAAAAAATAAGTAAAACAAAAGCTGTATAATAGTTATGCAAATCGTTAAGCTTAGATGTTCTATCAATACACTCATCTCAACTTTAAAAAATCAATATTCTTTGGTCAATAATCTGAGTTAAAATTGCCCTTAAATGTATATTGGATTAGACAGGTTAAAAAGTTTAAGCATTGAAACAGGCTATAGAAAACTAAATATGAACAAAATCATTGTAGCTCAGTTAAAATATATAGATTTTGTAATCTCTAGAAGTCTCTTAACCTAGTCTGAGCCAGAGTATTTCTTGTTTTCGCAAAATTAAACCCGTAAGGTTGATGGCTATATAGTATATTAGAACCTATAATTCTTTATAAGCCTAAAATATATGCCGCTTACAAATACATAAACTTTATGACTGTTTACTTGTAGATCTCAGTTGTTCTCATTTTTGTATGATGGTTTCGATTTTTTCTATGACACCATAAAAATTTCATATTTTAATTGAAAATCAATTTGATTTTGTTTTACCTTGTCAATTCGTGTTTCGTTTGCTTGATTGTTTAACGCCCCGTTGCGACCTTTTCTATCATATTGAGACGCCACCACCTGCCGGTGGAGGGCTGCAAATTTAGACCTGTACTCGGCACTTACGACCCTTGAGCAATAACGTTTTTATCCGAACGACCGGTCTCCACGTCAAACTGTGGATTTACTCCGCGCCCCTACACCAAACGCTCTTACCACTTCGCAACACGAGCGGCCCTTATCAATGCACAGCAGATGCATAATAAAAGATTGTTATGCTTACATTTGTTCCTGCAAACCCAATTGCAGAATCTTTCATTTCGAAAATTGTTTGCATTTCCTCCACAGCATCCGTAGATAAACTTACGGCATTTCCCTGTTCTAGTGTCGTAATAATACCGGGGACAGGAGCCTTTGCACCGACCGGGATCCATAGGTAAACTACAAACTGACTTTCCTAAATTGTCAAGAAAATGAATTATAATAAAAACATTTCATTCGATATTTTATTATGATATGTATCAAATATTTCAAAATTATTACTGATAGAACAGATTTTCATGCAGTAATTTCACATTGTTTTTGTGGATTCACAACTCTTCAAGATGTGGAAAGTATAATAATATATTAAGTGAATATTATACTCAAGGCATTATAGAGCATTTAATCTTTTTTTTTTTCCTAGAAAGTCGTCAAAGTTGAGTTTAATTGTACTTCCCGGTAAAGCATCGATTTTGTTTTAGTAAAAAGCATACACATGCGCACTTTGCCTACCTGAGGGTCGATGAGGATATCCTCGTCCAACAACTGTAGCCTAAAATAAAGTGATGGCGTTATTTAAAATAAAAAGATACTAAGTTCATTATATCATTTTTGTATCGTTTGCTTTGAGACTAATGTGTGCTCTGTTCTTTATACGAAAAACTACACCGGAATAGTTACTTATCATCTATAGAAACGTTACATGCATTAAAAAGGAAAAATGACTCAGAAGCTTTGAATATAAGGTTGGATATTTGATCAATACCACCCCCCTCCCCCCCCCCCCCCCAAAGCCAATGGTCGGGCGGTGTGCCGGTGAAGGGCATCAAATTTAGACCGATACTCGGTACTAAGGGCCATCAAGCAGTGATGGTTCTTTATCGTGCAAATGCCTACAATGACACGAAACCTCCGTTTTTAAGGTCTCGTCCGAAAGACCCGTAATTTTCACTTCTAGTGCCGGGTGCTTGACGAAGGAACAGTCCCTACCGATGTATAAGTTCAAAAGACCAAATCAACATTAATGAAAAAAAATATATATATATTAAATCTAATCGATTTTTGAGGTTTTTTCAACTAACAGAACAGTGGAACATATTTTTTTTTTTATCCAAAATAGAAATATGATTCTTTAAGCACTTGTTTGATATGAAATTCTATTAATCCAATCTGCCACTCGAGGATTTAAACATGCGTATTCACCTATTACTGATTATACCACTTACAATGTGCATTTTGCACCACAAAGACAGTTAATATATGAAGAATCGGGAGGGTTTTAATGACTGAAAGTTGAATTGGTGTATAGGTCGTTTTATTCGTTAAACCAGTTAAGTCATCTTGTTAGATCAGATTCAGTGTTAATATAAAAATATCGGGTAAATTTTACCGACTTTGAATTTGTGCATAGGTCTTTTTCTCCGATCACTAGATAAGATCATGTCACTTTTTATCAGCAAAAATATCCTAATAAAGCAAAAGAAGTGGTACAATGAACCTGTTTTACTCTTCTCTTTAAACTATTTGTGTACGTTTCACTATGTACATTGAATAAAAAAGAGTAAAACACTTATTATCCTTAAAAAATTGTATCATTTTTTTTTCACTAGCTTAATTACTCATTTTGAATGGGTAGCTTGAAGATAATACTTTTCCCTCTCGAGGAAAAAAGAGAAAGAAAAAATATCATGCAATTTCCTACTGAGCGTTTAAAACTGAAAGCAAGTACTTATATATACATTTTTTTAAATACACAAAAAATGACTAACTTTCAAAGGTTTATCCCTCATTTTGGCGTATTATATGACAAATAGTTTTGCTTGTCAACTTATTTAGAAAATGTCAATTTTAGAACTCACATTTTATGTATGTTTATATATTGTTAAATACAGATTGTTGGGGGTTAGCGCCGAACAATGAGCGGGTAAAGGATGATTATTTTAAAAAAAAAAAAAATGAGTTTCCAGATCTGAAAATAAAAAAAAAGGTAGCTTCATATGAATTCTTTCGTCTGAAACATTGACGCAAGGTACAGCCAACATGAAAGAGTATATGTTAAAGGATGCAATAAAGCGTTGTTTATCGATGGAGAGCGAAAAACATCACCAAAGAAGGAATCTTTTTAATATATAAATTATATTTGTTGATTTCCTGAGGATAAAAAAAAAATTTAAATCTTGTGTTTATTTTGTACTTTACTTTTCCATTGAGTACACCTAGCTTGAAAAGATACTTTTAAAAATGAAAACAATATTTACTTACGATTACAATGGTCAATACCAAGCCAAGTAAGAACATTCGTTCCATAATTGCTTTTTCATATCGTATTAATAAGCATACTTTATATACTTTTCAGCAAACGAGAATCACGTGATTTTAACACGTGTTCTACGTGATTTTTTTTCAACGATGTTTACTAATCAATGTTTCACGATTCTGCTACTGTACCTACAGCTACAACATACAAATGTGAGTATACGTAGAGTAACTCCTGAGTGTAGTGATATCATTTGTTGTTCGTTTGATTTAACTATTGATAATTATCCTCTGGAAGTAAACCCGCTATTCCTCTTTCCCAAAAAATCGAATGAAACAGAAGCAATTATACATCCTTGGCCATTTATGTGTTTGAGTTTTGTTGAAACATTGCTTTTGTTGAATTAATTTTTTATAATTCTATGTGTCAATATAGCAAAGAGAAATAATTTGAATGCATTAGAAGAAAAAAAATGTGTATTTCTTGGCTGATTTACTGGGTTTCGCTTTTAGGTTTGTTCGGGTTTTTTTTTCGGATTTAAAACATAACATTTATTTCAGAAATTGTAATTATCAAGCTTAAATAGACAAAGATGATTTTCAACAATCACCTTAAAGGGATCCACCAACATAGTACATGTACAGGTCATGGTAGCCTAGTGCTTGAGCGTTCGCGTCGTGATCGGGATGCCCTGGTTCGATTCTTTTCCGCATCAAACCTTAGACGTAAACATAATTAGTGTTTGTTCCTTCGCCAACCGCTCGGCACTGGAAATGAAAGTCACCGGTCCTTCAGATGAAACCTTAAAAACCGAGGTTCCGTTGTAGACGTTGGCACGATAAAAAACTCTCACTCCTCAAAGGTTCCTCGTAGAGGTGTAAATGGAGTCCTTAACGGGTATATGGTGACGTATCATATGAGTAAAAAAATCTTGAATGGGACGTAGATCAACAATCAATCATAAACATAGTTTTATGCTTCAAAAAAGCAAAAAAAGTATTACTGATACCTATAAAATGCTCATCGCTACATAACTATAATAAAATAGAGAACTGCATGACATGTTCCAAAGATAAAAACAATGGATAGAATTTTTTTTTCTGAAATAAATATGTCTTTACATTTAAAGAATAATGAAAAAAAAATTATGCAAAAATATATACATTCTTTACTGAAAGTGAAAAAAAAACAACATAAAAACACTCTAATTTAAGATATGTAAAGAAAATTAGATGTAATCTACTAAGAAAAAGGATGTAATTGAAACTCTGCATTAGTTTAACAGGACAATATACAAACTCAAAACCTTTCTCATCGGTAGGGTGATATACCGTATACATAGAATTTTTAGCGAGAATCAAATTTTGCGATTTATTCCTAAAAATTGAGGATCAGTCGGCAGAGTGCTCGCTCCATGATCGGAAGGTCCTATGTTCGAATCACGGCCGCAACATACCTAAGTCGATCAAAAATAGGTAGCAACTGTTCCTTCGGCATTTTGAAGTGAAAGTTGCGGGTCTATCGGAGGAGACCTTAAAAACCAAGGCCCATTGTTACGGTAGGTGTTGGCACGATAACGAACCCTCACTGCTCAATGGCTACGAGTGCTGGGAAATGATCGAAATTTGAAACCCTTCACCGGTATATGGTAATATATCTATATGAGTGAAAGATTCTCGAACGGAACATAAAATGACATTCAATCAATCAATCAGTCATCGATGTTCCCAGGAATTAATGTGACTGCTCAGCGTCGCTCGATACTAGTGTCGGCCGATCATGTTTTTTTTTTCAGCCGACGAAAGGAGAAAAATTTGGTCGCTCGACCATCGGCTAAATTGTGACCCAGGTATAATAGGCGATCATATTTCAAAATACAGAGTTATGACCAAGACGTAAGAATTTGATAGGTTTGTTAAACGCACAGCGCCTACTATCCTTCTATCTACGTCCCCATTTTATTTTCTGAGAAGTGTGTTGAATCAGAATATTTCGAACTACTTGGGGAATACTGAAGTATATGCAGGGTCAAGTGATTTTGATTTACAGGCCAAACACGTGTGCACTTCGTGTGAAAATATAGGTTGTGACTGACTTTAGATTCAAAACAGATTTATTTAAAGAATGGATGTGACTTATACTGTAAACAATTAAATTAAGATGTTAACGGTGCGACCGTTGGGACGAGCGCGGTTCACTTAATTTTAAGATACGCTTCTTCAAACAACACGAGACAATTGGAACCTCTAGATTGTGACGTCACATGACGTCGCATGTTAGCTGCATTTGCATAAACGAAGTTTGAAAAGTGCACGGTTTTAACAAAAAAACGTTTAATCTACTATCTGTATGCAATATCATTAAATTGAGGTGAGTTTATTTTTTGTGAATTTCTTGTTGTTGCTACTGCGAGAATGAAGTTAGCAGCGAGAACAAGAAGCGTTGCATTGTGGGTCTCGAGGTAATTCTGGAAAACAATGTGCGAAGTCCGAATTTTCTCTTCGCCCAGGCGTTTTCGTTAGAGCTCGCAATGCTGCGCTCGCTATTAACATTTCTTTGGTTCTTGTATACATTGGAGACGTGGGGTTAAGAGGGAATATCTCTCTCTCTCTCTCTCTCTCTCTCTCTCTCTCTCTCTCTCTCTCTCTCTCTCTCTCATATATATATATATATATATATATATATATATATATATATATATATATATATATATATATATATATATATATATATACTATTAAATTTAACATTTCAGTATCATAATCTTATATTATTGAAAAAATCTACCATTACACAATACAAAATTCTGCATATACTGTACCTTTTACCACATATTCAGGATTTAAATCTATAAAAGATATATAGATCAATGCCTATTTGATCCAGCTTCTCCAAAATATAAATCAAGGCATGTAAGGGGGGGGGGGGGCTTCAAAGGTAGTATTAAGTTTAATGAATCATTAGATTATAGCAAACTAGAAACGTCAGTTGAATTATTGTAACAATTCTTTACTTCAAAAAAACGACTGGCAGTACCTTATTTCGCAAGAATGTTCAATTAACTCCTTGGGTTGGATTGATTGGTGATTTCGTGTTGTAAATAATCTAACGATAAGTCTATAACATTTTGATGAAATAGAATACCCAAGTCTTATTAAAAGATTAGTCTTTCTTATAAGTGGCAGCTTTCTATTTATACGTAAAGGATTTCTATCTGTCACTTCCATTTTAGTGTGTGTAATAATTTTTATATGGAATATGAAACTCGGGATATTTGATATTCGAATCCTAGGATGTATTCAGAGAATTAAAAGATCGTCTGCGTTATAGAAAGCTTCGTTCCAGTCTCATTCTAGACAATATAGGAAAGATAAATTGCATGTCATCAGTATATATATTCTACAATTTGCTTGCCGGCATTTATCAGTTATTTAAGATATATATAAATGCATGTGTATTCTTCAGTAATACGCTTAGGAAACAGTGGATATGGAAGGTCTAAATATTTTAGATCGCGAGTGCAGACGTCTCTGACGTCATCAAACAATCTCTAAAGTTCTTTTATCACTTACAAGTTAGAGTTATCTTTCTTTGCATATTGTAAACACACTAGCTAAATGGGTATAATGAAGGTAACTAAAATCTATTAAACGTGTCATCCGATTTCAAAACAAATGATATATTTGGTACTTATAGACTAATCACTATTATGCATAACAATATCTTGAAAAGTATTAAAAAGTAAAAAAGTCAAAATTGACCGAAGTACATATTCACTTCCGGTTCGGACAGGAAGTGCTGAGCACGAACAGAGCAAACCTTGGTCATTTACAAATATCAGGATCTAGTACTCCTGAAACTTTTCCTTTTTTATCTCAGACTGTTTCTGAGAAAAACGCAGGGCAAAAATCCATTTCAAAATTTTAAAATCCGACCATAACCTAGGACCGGCAGTTAATTTTTCAAAAAACGGAATTTTGTATTATCCTGTGAAATTTTTTTTTAAAAATTTATCCAAACATCTCTAAGTAATCGCACTCACAAAGTTTTGGAGGAATAATAATGATGATAAAAAGAAACAATACATTTAATATAGTTGTTCCGCTGTGAATAAAAATAATAATAATAATACGATGAAGAAACAATGTGCTCTAAGTCTTCCGTTCTGAACGGAAATCCTATTAAAATCAACTTGTGACGTCACTCTTTTGTCCATTATTTTTTAAGGAATGAATTTAATAGCTACCCAATTTATACAGCGTAAAGTGGGTGGGGGCAGTTTACGCTTTATGAACCGCGAAGCGGATTATAAAAAAGCGTAAACTGTTCCAGACTACTTTATACCGTTTAAATTGTGAAGGTTTTAATTTCATTCCTCATAATTTAATTTTCATTCGTTTACTGTAAGAAAAAAGATGAATGCCTTTTTAAAAAAAAAAAAAAAAAAAAAAAAAAAAAAAAAAAAACTTTAAATTGTACAAAATGTAAATGTAACGTCAGGCGGATCAATACGTTTTTGATTTTGACGCAAGTCATTGTGACGTAGGAAACCCAATTTATACGATATAGAATAAATTTTATCCAATCAAATACCGCGTTATATCTAGAATTAAATTATTCAGAAATTGAGAGTTGCAAATTACATTGAAAAAGGAATTTGCTATGTTCAAATTCTTCGGAGTTCCCATGCCTCTATTAAAGAAAATAAAATAGAAAATTTCATTTACTAAAGTTTATTTTTATATTAAGAAAAAATCATTCAGGTACCACTGAGAATCGATCTCGGTACCTTCACCATGATAGTCACAAACTCTTTTCACTATGCTATCGAAGCTGTTGACGGACAACGGATTTAAATTAGTCTATTACGCTTTACTCCCCTCACTCTCTCTATCTATATATGAAATTCTACTAATTTGTAAAATATCTTCTATTTTTTTTTTATCATATATTAACAAGCAATAATTACAAGCATTTAAAATAGTGGATTTTAACCGGGTTAATATACTCAAAGCGTTCCATTCCTTAAAAGCAATGGGCCTCGGTCTCG